TTGCCGCAGCGGCCCGGGAGGCGCCCGCTCCACCGGCCTCTCCGGATGGCTCAGGGACCACGGCTTCTGGGCAAGGGCGCATGGTCTGGGTGTCCGGCCCCTTAAGATGCTGGGAACCCCCAGCATCAGAGTCTGGGAAAGGTCACCCCCAGAATCACAAGGGGGCTGGAAGGGCAGTTTGGGGGCAGGGATTAAGAATTCAAATTACAGAGATCATCCTCATGGGATCAAGAGCGTCTTGCTGGACCACCAAGTGATCCCTCCATCAGACCAGGGCATGGGGAGGTGTCAGGCTAGGACCATCTATAATACTCCAGACCCCTCCCAAACAGGAGAAACACCCTGGAACCAAACCAGAGGACACCCTGGGAGGTTGGGGTGCTATCTTTCAGGAGGATGCCCCCTCCTTTGTCTCTGACATCATCTTCTATTCCTCTCTCTCCCATGCCTAAGCTGGCTGCCCAGGTCCCTGCTGTTTCCAACATGCCAAGCTCATTTCCACCTCAGAGCCCTTGCCCTTGCCCCTCTGGCTGCCTGGACCACTCTTTGCCCAAGTATCCACAAGGCTCACACCAGCTCCTCCTACGGCTCTTGGCTTCAATGTCACCTTCGTCAGGTCTCTGTCCATTCCAGGGAAACTGCCTCCCCCTTCCTTACTTGACCTCCTTTACTTGTTATGTTTTTTTCCCCGCAGAGCAGTTGTCACCAGACATTGTACTCTTCCTGTATATAGTTTCTGTTCACTGTGTGTCACTCCAATCCTGGAATATATACCCCCAGGGTGAGGACATTGTCCTGTGCACCTGTCTCCAGCACCCTGAACTGTGCTTGATAAATATTTGTCAAGTGAATAAGTAAGTGCCAATGCCAGAGTCCTTGTGATATGCTGAATCCATTTCTAACCCCTAAACATGTGCAGCAAGTTCTATTATTAGCCCCATTTCAGAAAGAGGAAACTGAGGCTGAGTCACTCCCTCAGCTAGGGCCTTGCCCCTGGCCTCAGGTAGATCTAGAATCCTGCCCAGTGATGGCAGGTGGCCTGTCTTGTCAGTAGGTTCTGCCAAATGGAGAGGATGGGCTGTCAGACTCTGGTGGGGGTGAGCCTTCTGATTAGGGGATGTGGGGGTCACTGTTCAGGTCCTGGCCACCAGTTCAGGGGGGGGGGGAAGGTCCCAGAAACCCCCTGGCCTAGCCCTGCTGGCCAAGAGGAACCAGGGTGTGGAGCAGACCTGTGGCAGAGGGACAGGAAGCCAGGGACATCGGACACTTCTGTGGTCTGGTCCTCTGTGCCAGCATTTACTTCCTGGGTTGTGAAATTCCCCTATAGAAAATAACCTTCTTGCTGTTCTGAGCTTTCCCTCTGGCAGGGGTGGTAGGCAGAGGCACAATGAGGACAGGTCTTAGGCCTGGGACATGGGCACCTACTGACAAATGTTCCCTGGGCACCTGCTATGGGCTTGGTGCTGCTCTATGCACTTACTAACATTAACTCATATAATTCTTCCTACAAGGTGGGTATTACCATTGTGCCCACTTTACAGGTATGGGAAACTGAGGCTCAGAGTGGGTAACTTGCCATGACCACATAGCAGAGGATAGGAGGGGCTGACTCTGCTCTTCCCTACCTGTGGTCCATCCTGCCTGTCCCATTCCTCCTCCAGTCCTCTGCCCCAGGCCATCAATTACAAAAATTCTTACAGCCTCATTGGGACATACTGAAGGTCTCTCTTTATCCCTTAGTCACTCTGGAACCAGCACATGATTTGAGTGGACAAATTTAGGTTTTACCTGGACCGGAGACTATCTCTAAGCCCATTTCCTCATCAGTAAGACAGGGGTTCAGATAGCCTCATCTGGGTGGGCTGTAGTGGGGTCCTGAAGAAGTTAGGACTTTACATCTAAATGTGGAGCCACCAGGGGCCAGGCCTACAGTCCCTGCCTTCCTACTGAAGGGCCTCAGGCATGTAACTATTTGTCTCCATCTCATAGAGCCAAGGCAAGAATTAAATTAAGAACATCAGCCTGGTATGCACTTGGTGCTCACTACACGAGTTACTTCTTCCCCCTTCATTTTTCTGAGTAACATTAATGAGTACTCTATCATAAGTGGCCACATTTATTAACTCCTTGCATCCTCACAAAGCAGTTCTCAAAGTGGGATCCCTAGACAAGTATCATCAGAATCACCTGGGAACTTGCTGACAGTACAGGCTGTTGGCCCACCCCGGACCTGCTGAATCACACTTTGCCGGTGGGTCTGGCGATCTGCCCTCCAGGAGATTCTGATATAGCTTAAGTTCGAGACCAACTCACTTTGAACAATCCTGGGAGACTGGGGCTATTCTTCTGCCCACTGGACAGAAGACAGAACTAAGGCTGGAAGAGACTGACCGGCTCCAGGTTACATGCCAGCTTAAGTACCAGGGGAAGGATCTGAACCCAGGCCACCAGGCATTACAGTCTGTCCTAGGAGCCCCCACACTGGAACCTGATGATGCACAGCTTGTGTGAGATGCTCGGGAATTTCAGGTCATGTCAGTGACTATCGTCCCAGGAAATGGACAGATCCCCTTCCCTGGCGCATGGGATCCGAGTGCAACAGGAGGCTCCCGCCCATTCCATAGGCACAGCCACAGCCATTTCCAACCCTTTATTAGGACTCTGTCAGTCCAAATAAATACATTAAACCCAGAGCTGAGGGAATCATGCACCCCAGGAGGTGCCCCCACAACCCCGGCAGGGCAAAATAAGTTAGCAGGGGGCCTGCCAAAGACCAGGCCAGCTCCCTGGCTGGGCAGGCAAAGGCAGCTGGACTCGCACACGCTGGTCTAAAGTGCATCTCGGTTCTGTGGTCCCCATGTCTGCATGGCCCCTAGCGGGGCCACTGGGATGGGTGGGCAGGAGGTTCCTGGTGCTCACACCGTGCCAGCAGTGGTCACCGAGGTTCTGTGTCCATCTGTCCATTTGGGGGAGTGACTGTGTGACCGGGTGTCCTCAGGAGAAGCTGTCGTCGGACCGTGGCTGGGAGTCGAAGGCGGGGTCTGACACAGTGATGCCTTGATGCAGCTTCTCCAGCGAGAACTTCATCTGGGGGAAGAGGTGAATGCTGGGAGGGGTGATAGCACTCCCCAGTCTGCAGTTGAGGAACTATAGGTCCAGAGAGGCCATGTCCCCTTGCCAGGGTCACCGTGTTACACAAGCGGAGCCATCCTGTACCCAGCTTCACTTCTTACAGGCAGCAGATGGAAGGGGCCCAGATGGCCTGGGTTCAAGTCCGGCCTCTGCTACTTACTGAATAGCCTTGGGCCAGCCCCTTACCCATCCCAGGTGCCTCAGCTGCAGGATGGGTCAGTAACATACCTGTGGCACCAGGTTATTTCAGGGTTCTGACGGGGGAACACCTAGGACCTGGCACACGTGTTACTCTTATTCCCGGCTGCGCAACCTTGGGCAGGTTGAATCACTCCATACCTCAGCATCCCTATCTATTACGGGGGGGGGGGGGGGGGGGGGGGCGGGGGAGGGGGGGGATAGGAGCACCTCCCTCAGAGGCTGGCTGTGAGAAGCAAAGCAGTTGGTCATTTTGACTCTGAGAACAGCCCAGCTTGATCAGTGTCTGCTGTTAGCATACATTTGAAGTCAACTCTGCGCCCATAGCAATGTGAGAGGGAAGTAACAAGAATTTAGCTGAGGATGGCGAGGCTCTGCCCTCCTCTCTCTGAGCTTCAAACCCCTCTACCCTGTCCTATGGCCTTTCCCAGAGTGAGCGTATCTGTTCGAGCATAATTTCAGGGTGCAATGAGGCCCCTAGTAAGCCTCAGCATTATGGCCCATAGTGACCAGACACGATGTTCAGGCACCCACCAACTTACACTCAGATACCCTTGGGTGCCCAGCCAGTGCCAGCTGCTCCCCAGCTTCCCACACCTGCTCCCTACATTGGGCACTTACCCCAGGTGTCTGAAATTTGTGCTTAGCCACCACTTTATTGAGCACCTGCTGTGTGCCTAGCACTGGGATTGCAGTACTAACAGCAAACACAAAGTGTTTGCTATGAACTTGGCACTATTCCAATTTGAACTCATTTAATCCTCCTAACAGCCTTTGAGGTACCGTCAATTACTATCCCATTTACAGAGGATGAAGCCAAGGCCCCAAGTCACACACCGGAATTTAAACCTGGCCTTCTGAATAGATGCTGCCCCTGAACTATAGGGGATATATGAGGCACCCCTTCTAGAGGTGAGACCCCAGTATCCTTTGGAGAACTTTTCTCCCACCCTTACGTGATCCCTTCGTCACCCCAAGTGGGAGAGGGGCTCAGGGACCAAGCTTGGCCCACCCCTGACCGCCGTGGGCACGTGACCCCAGCAGCCGGTGAGAGTGAGCACTTTCCTTTGTCAGCTTAGAGCTGCAGGTACCACCTGGTCATCCTGGGGAAGAGGATGCCCAAAACTAAGCCAAACCTGGGGGGCGGGAAGTCAAAATATGGCAGCAGAGATCAATTCTTACTGCCGTTTAGCAGCTGGACACAGGATGAGAGCCAGTACATTCTATTTTTCCACTCTGCTGATTTTTCGGGCAACCCTGGAAGGTGGGGGACTACAAATGGCCTCCTCATTTTATGGAGGAAACTGAGGCCCAGAGGCACCTGCTGCCTCTTGGGGGTGAGTGCAGGGTCCCACAGCCCCGGGCCGCACCTCGTCCAGGAGCTCTACCGAGGCCCGCAGGATCTGCCGCCACTTGTGCACCTCGACGCTGTGGAACTGCTTCTGCAGAGCCAGGACCTCCGCCCACTCTGCAGCCGTCTGGGGGAACTTGCTGTTGGGGGAACAGGGCCTGAGTGGAGTTTTGGCCTACCCCCACCTGCCCAGCTCCCAACCCCCTCAGGGTACCCACTCACTCCTTGGCCAGGGCCAGACTGTGCCAGGACTCGAAGGTGTGGGCTGTCCTCTCCAGGGACCAGAGGCGGTAAAAAAGGAGGATGTTGAGGGCGATGAGGACGATGAGGCTGGGGGCAGGGCACAGAGGTCACGAGTTGGGCACACACACAACTTGAAAGGACACAAGGACTCCCCCTTTACAGAGGAGGAAGTTAAGACGCAGAGAGGGGGAGACACGTCCAGGGTCACACAGTGCAGAAGCAGCCAAGTCAGGGTTCTCGTCCGGTCTGAAGCCCGCACCCTTAACCATCCACCAAATCACTTCCCTGGGAGAGCCAAGGGCGGAGAACAGAGAAGCTGCAGCCAGAAGTGAGGGGGGAGGGGAAGGGAGGGGAGGGGAGGGGCAGGACCCTACCTCACACAGATCCTGAGGAGGCAGTGAGGGGAAACAAAGAAATGAGAACTGCCCAGCCCATCCTACCCACCCCACCCTCCTCACCCCAGCCCCATACAAGGCTGAGTTCGATCTGATGCTCACCCCTAAAGTTCACAGGATCTCACCTGCATTTCCTCGGTGTCCTGCCCCCCACGCCTCCAGACCTTTGCATGTGGGTCTCCCTGCCTAACCCTCTGGGGCATCAGCTCAGGAGTCCTCTTCTGTCCCAGGAGACTTCCCTAACTGCCCACTGATCCCGCCTGGAGGAAGCCTCCGTTGGCCTCCCAGGCCCTCCCATCCCAGCCCTGTCCCCCCTGCCTGTGTTTCCCCTTCACTGTGATCTGGTGCCAGGACTGTCTCCCCCAGAACTGTTGGTAACTACTGTGTCCCCAGCATCATCCAGCTTAGGGTTAGGCACAGAAAACATGAACACAATGTGTAGCATAATTGCTTCTTTTGCATCTCTCCTGGTTCATCTAATTTCACCTCATTTGGGTACCTGCTCCTCCAGAAAGCCCTCCCTGCCCCCTGGGGGAGGTCAGGTCCCTCTAACCTCCCAGAGTCCCGGGGCGTCCCTCTCCCAGCAGGAAGGCTTCTCCACGATAAACAGAGCAGCGCACTGTGCACAGAGCTCTGCAGGGCACATCCCAGACAGCAACTCCTTTTATCCTTGCTATGAGGTGAGCACACACTCCCACTCAAACTGAGGCCCAGTGAGGCCATGGTCACACAGACAAGACGCAGATCCAGGCCTGTCTGATCCCAAAGCCCAGCCTCCTTACTCACACAACGCTGATGAGCACCAGGGCACTGGGGATGCCTGTCCCGGGACCCTGGTCCACGGATGGTTCTGAGAAGCGGGAGCTGAGGGAGCCTGTGGGAGAGCAACTCAGAGTCAGGGAGACTCATCTAGGCCACCCCAAGGACCCCCCTCCTCCGCCTGCCCTGCCCAGGCCTGAGGGACACACCTGAGGTGTGCATGCCAGCCCGGATGCAGGGGTCTGGGTCCGGGTGCTGGGGCCCATCACCGTGACCCCTCCAGCTCAGGGGTCGCTTCCGCCTCCGCAGGCCTGACAGCAATCCCCGGGCGTCCTTCCCGCCTTCCTCCAGGGATAGCTTCTCGGCCTTGGCAAGCTCCCGCTCTGCGGACACAAAGAGTGCTCTGCAGGTCTGAGCCTGGCCATCCCCCCTCCCCGGTCCTGTCCAGCTCTGTCCCCTACCCAGATGGTGGAAGTAATCCTCAATGCCACTCCACGAGTTCTTCTCAATGAGAGACTTCACGAGGCTCCAGGGCTGCTTCCGGTAGCGGATCTCAGAGGACACTCTGGGGTGGAGGAATGAGGTAAGGGGTCAGGGTCTGACTCCAGGCTTGCTGCCCTGCCCCATTCCTGGGGGTGCTTTTCCCCTAATTCAGAGAGGCCCGTACACCCATAGACAAATCAGACACCCTGCCCCACCCACCCATGGCTTCCCCATGATCCCCGCTCACCAGAAGCGCTGGCCAGTCAGCCCATAAACCCTTCTCTGTCTACCCACTACTTTGGCAAGTCTCCCATCCATTAAGTGCTGCCTCAGCACCTGTGACCTCCTGCCCACCCAAACTGAGGCTTAATACCCTCTTCAGTCTTGAACCTCTTCCATCTTGCTGCTGCATGCACCTCTACATAGGGGTCTAAGATAGCTTAACACGTCCCCAACTGATCTTCCCCAAACCTACTTCTCCCCATTTCCCCATCCTGGTCAACAACAGCGCCATCCTTCTAGAAGCTCAGGCCAAACACCTCTGGATGTTCCCGGCCCCTTAGGGACCAACACTTCTGCCTGCCAGGGTAGCAACCAACTTTCTGCTGCTGACTCTGGCTGGGGAGAGTGGGGTGTAGAGCCTCTGGAACCACCAGGGCACCAGGTGGAGGCAGCTGCTCACCGGAGACGGGCCTTGTTCCGGGCAAGGCCCAGGATGCAGTAGCGGTGGGCAGTGTAAAAGTAGTCCTGGTAAGGGATGCCCTGCGTCAGCACCTCCGAGTCTACCACACACCCGCCCGCCTGTGGGCCGCGCCGGAACAGAGTCTGCAGGGACAGGGGAGGGAGTCAGGGCTGCCCCACCTGGCCACCCAACCCAACTGGCCACCTGTTGGCTCACCTGCGTCTCGACCACCGAGGCGCTTTTGGGACCCAACGGGTTGCTGATGGGAATGGTGTAGGTCAGCACTCGGCGCTGATGGCACTTGCTGTCCCCACTCCAGGGGCTCAAGGTCACGTCTGGGGCAGGAAGAGCAGAATGAGGAAACTATTCTCCAGCCCTTTGTCCATAGGCTGTAAGCCTTGCCCCTAAACCTGCCCTTCCTCCATGTCCCCACCTTCGTGCCTACCCCACCTTTCTTGAGACGTTTAAAACCTTGTATGTTGATGATGGCTGGAACCTTTCCCCTCCCTACACTTCTCACCTCTCCTGAGGCCATCTCATCCATTCCTACTGCCTGAGTTTCCCTCTCTGTCCCAGTCCTGGCTTCTCCCCTAAGCCTCAGACCTAGGATCCTGTGACCTCCTGAACACCTTCCCCTGAAAGTTCCCTGGACCCCTGGACCCCACATTGGCTTCAGCATCCCTTCAAACCTGCCCGTCCTCTGGAGCCCTATCTCAGGGGTGGTCCAACTGTCCTCCAGGCTCTCCCCAGAGCCCTGGGCCTGGACACTCCCACCCCCATCTGACTCCTGAACTCCTCTGCTGGTCTCATGGTCAACCCTTACACTTTACCTGCTGCTGTGGCTTCCCGTGCCATACCTGGCCACAGGGGCCCAGCCTCAAGGTGTTTCTCTACCTCAGGGCATCAGCAGGCCTCCTGGGTCCCTGTCCCCCACCTCCTCCCCTTTCCCTGGAAAAGTTCCTCCTTCAGGCCTTAGTTTCAATTTCACATCCTTCCAGCAGCCTTTCCTGATACTTCTCAGATCTCAGCTACCCCTCTGACACTCACCCTATTTGTGTGAGAATCTATTTCCTCTCATTCTTACTAGATTCTGGGTACATCTGTCCTGGTCTCTGCATAGAGTGGGCACTAAATGTATGATCATTACGTCATATTTATGAAATGTGTACTATTGGTTACTGTTCTAGGCACTTTTTTAGTATTAACTCGTTTAACTCTCCTGAGACCCTGGTAAGACAGGTACTTTTATCATACCTCTATCAAGCAGAAGAAGAAACTGAGGCACAGACAGGCTGGAACCCTGCTAGTAAGAGGCAGCCCACTCTGGTCTCATGGCTGCTGTTTTTAACCCCGCACCTTACCACGCCCCACCTGCACAGAAGTGCCTGTCTCGGGCTGGTCCTCCCCACCCTCCCTGTGCCTGGGGACCTCAGCCCTGACCTGTGAACTTGCACTGCTCCAGGAAACCCTGCAGGAAGGGCGAGTCTGAGAAGAGCATCTGCTGGAGCCGCTCGGCACCCACGTGGAAGACGGAATTGATGAGGAGGCGGCCGGAGAGGTCGGGGAGCAGGGCAGCCAGGTCTGCGGGCCACACACAAGGGCAGCGAATGAGGCCCCCTGTGCCCCTCCTTCCTCAGAGTGGTTCCTCGGATTCCGTGGTGACCACTCCCCCAACTCCTGGCCTATGGAGTGGATGGGTGGGCCTATCCTCCTAGACCAGAGTGGACCCTGTGACACAGCACACTCCTCGGCCCCCTGTGCCCCAGGGGTGGCTTTAGGGTGGTGTGTGCCCTAGGCCCAGACAATCAGAGCCACCAGGACAATCACAGAGGCCCAGCCAACTGCGGTTCCAGCCATCACAGGCTCATTGGCCTGTGGCTCTGGGCCACAGTGATCGGTTCAGGGATATGTGTGATCCCAGGCAACCAGCGATTGGTTCAGAGGGGTGGGTGCGACCCAAACCAAGCAGCCAGTGATGGCTTCAGAGGGGAGTGTGCGACCTCAGGCAGCCACATTGATTAGCTCAGGCATTGGCTCGCTCTCCACTCAGAGCCCACCCTAGAGCTTTCAGTACAGCCACTGGGAAGCATCTTTTCCTTCTCCAGGCTTCTCGGGAGCAGGGCAAGGGCTCCCTCTGCTCCCACAAGAGAAGCTGCCTGAAAATGAAGTTGGTGCAGAGAAATGGAGATGATGATGATGATGATGATGATGATAGCTAATACTAACTGGCCCAAGCACTTTGCTCGTATTAACTCATTTAATTCTTTTAAACAACAACCCTATGAAGTGAATATTATTAGTGCTTATCCAATTTTTCAGATGGGGGAAATGAGGCTCACAGAGGTTAAATAATTCGCCCAGGTTACATAGCTAGGAACCACCGTGGCCAGAATTTGAACCCTAGCAATCTGGCTTCAGAGTCTGTGCTCCTATCCACCCTGCCCTGCTACCTTTAAAGCAGAACTGAAGATACCAGGTGTCTAACAACACCATTTGAATGCCTCACCTGCCCACTCCCTGGATTTTTTTAGTCCACTGAGCTAGCAAATCCTTGTTTATTCCAGACTGAGTAAGGTTGTCACATGCAACTGAAACAAATGATTCAGGCCACCTGCCTCACCTTCCTCCCCCGTGGATGAGGAGGAGTTACTCGTGTCCGTCAACAGCTCCTCACTGGGCAGCAAGTTCAAGGGGCCCAAGGAAGTGGGTCCATCAGGTGGGGTGGGCTCTGCGCTTGGGGGTTCAGCCACTGGAGTCACTGTCTGGCTGGAAGAGGCATCTGGCTGTCTGTCCGTCTGCTCCTCTTTGTCCTCCTCTGCCTGCAGAGAATGGCTTAATCCAGCCTTGTCCCACCTCCATCCCAGCCTGAGGGCCTCCTGTGTGCCCACATGGGCCATTAGAATTCAAGACTGTAAGAAAACCAATTCCTGGAGGTCACATGTATATGGAGGGCTTATAGCAGAGGCTCTAGGGCCACCAAGACAAGGGCTGAGAGCCCCTTCCAGGCTTACTTGGATGCCTGGGCCATAAGCTTTCTTGTGCCTGACCTATCCGTCTGTCCTGTCCATGCCTTGCCTATATCCTAACTTATCC